TGCTCAGCATTTACTGCCGTAAAAATACAGCCAGTACTAGGAATCGCGATTCCGTGACTGCCTTCCTCTCTTTCCTCCCTCGCTCCCTTTCTTTCCTCCACACGCATTTCCCCCTCTCCCTTTCTTCCATCCTTCCTTTTTTCCTTTTGAGAGTCCACATAAACTCATATAGCCAAGCCTACAAATCAAACAAACCTAAAAATTGTTTTAATACTTTTTTCATTTGTAAGGATGGGGGAGGGGCATATTTTAGAGAAAACAGATTGAACTAAGAAAAATGACTGTGGCTAAGCCATTTAGCCTTGTTAGACCACATATTACTCATTAGCTAAATAGGTTGCTGAACTGCACACTTCTTAGCTGATGTCCACCTCTAAAATCTCATGGTTCTGATTTTCTAATTTGTTAACTATCTTGTGATCTTTCAGAAGGGTAATAGCTGAGTGTGTGGGCTTACTACCAGATGCCAGTAACTAGTCATCGTCAATGTAGTCAAACTTATAAAAGCCTGAACTAGATAAATGGTACAATAAATCAAGAAATATTGTTTACGCCAAAGTATTTACACCAAATATATGGTTAGATGTTCATGGTCCTTACATTTGGGATAATTATTCCACCCATTTGAGAAGGACTTCATGAAAGGAATGGGGTTTGAAGGGATTTTTAAATTCTGGTTTAAGTGCCCAGAAGATATCTATGTAATTTATACTGTCACTTTTCCATGGTTTTCCTAGTAAAAAAGAATTTAAATGCCTTCTTGCTACATACTGACCAAGAAAAATATATTTTCCTATCATTTTGAGAGAAATTTGTGACTTAGAGAAGAGCATTGCAGCATCATATATCCTTATTCTGCATATTAAAAATTTTCCTATGTAATTATGTATTGTCTACCTACTAACTATATGGAAATATGTCTTATTTCAAAGTTGCACAAATATTAGCATGAATCCTTGTTAAAGGGTTATAAGCTATCATTCGTGATTTGGAGTTGAAAGATATTTGGGGTAAAATATGGAACAAATGATAAATGTTTTAAAAGAACAGATTGGAAAGAAATATTTATTAGGAACATAAACTAAATGAGGTAAATCCCTTAAGAATGTCCAGAATGAATGAATGCTCCATGCTAATGATAATCAAAGGTCCAAATGAATGTGTGTTTAAGGATATTTGATATTGCTCTAATGACCTCTTAACTAGCCTCTTAAATTTGATCACCTTTAGATTTTTCTGCTGGAGAAATTAAAAAGGAAGACAATATCATTATGAAATATAATCTGTTTGCTCTCTCTAGTCAGATATGAAATCTAATATGGAAATTTTGCTTTCCTTAATCTTCCTTGCAGAATTAAAAGGCAAGTAGAAGACTGGTGTTTTAGCAGACATGTAGAGGCAATATTGCATTGCCTGGTGCCTCGAACACTGCTTTTTTTCAACTGAGAATTTCCAAATCATGACATAAACCAGGACAGTGCAATTTTAGGCACAATTTCACAACTGTGCTGTTAAAGATCCTGTATTAAATATGAAGAGGACTGCCCAAAAGATGAGTCCTTAGAGTGAGGGAGTCACACATTCTAGGCGTCAGGAGAGTATTTTAGAGTAAATGTCAACATTTTCTTTCTATTCTTTACTCCACTTTTGGGTTCTTACCTCCAGGAGGGGTGTAGAAACAGTTGAGTTGAGCTTCATGCACTAAAGTGCCCTTAAACTTCACCTCTGTTTCAGCAGACGGGAGACTGGGGAGCGGCTGGTACGCAGGCGTAGCGGGCTGAACAAAGGCTCGAAGCATGGTGAATTTCCAGATGCGTACTTGTAGGTCGATTTTCAAAAGTAAGAAAATACCCTGCTCGTGAGCTTTTCTCCTTGTAAATATTTAAAGCCTAAAAACCATTCTCATAGTCACATTTCTGTGCTACACAAATTAATGAGGCCTTATCACGTCACTGCAAATTTAGGTGACAGGAATTACTCTAAGTTTTAGAATCCTAAAAACCAGGTCTCTTTTGTGGTTCTTTACAACCTTGTCTTTTTCTTTCCTCCCTGCTGTGCTCACTGCCTACGTAAGGATGGGCCTCTCCCCTAGTGGCTTTACAGGAAAACTGGGATTGAAATGTGAGGCTAATGGTTTCTGTCAGCCTGTCAGCTCATCACCTCCCTAAGGCATGATGATCTCTGGTTTTTATTTGTCACCACGAGCTGCTCTGATACACCCTCTTGTGTAGAAGAGTGATAGGTTTGTCCAGGGGTCGATGGACCTTGGGCCTAAGAGACAGAAAACTTTAGTTGGAATGTGCACTTTAATGTAATTCACTGCCCCTTTCCCAGTGGAATGCTGCTCAAGTGGCAAAACTATTTTAGGGAGAAAAAAATTAGGCCCAGTTCTACCGTTTATCTTGGTGCTACCTTTCTGTAGCCAGACTGTTGGTAAGTCTGTTCCCTACCCTACCCCTACCTCTTGGCTATTTAAATTTTATGTTCAAAATAAATATTAACTGGAATAGAAAAAAAGAGCTATTTCAAAATGGTCCGTTTAATCTGAAAGTCAAGTTGCTTCAGAGATGTGGTCAGGTCCTAAAGAAATCTCCACAATGTCTTATATAATCACTTACAAATCCAGTCTCCTTTCATTCTTTGACATCTGAAAGATGTTTTTATAGCATTTTCCCTCCCTAAATCTGCATTTCAGTTATCTCCTGGTAATGATACTGTCAAATTGCATTTCTGTTTGTATCAACTATTTCCTTGGCATTCTACCCTTATGAAAATCTAGCTCCTTATGTCAAATGCCACAAATGTGTAACATCAAAAAAAACCCACAAAAAACACCCAAAATATTTCTACTAATACGTTCTACTGATGGGACACAAATGGCTGTTTTTTTCTCTGCAGTTGGACCTTGAATTTTTTTAGTTATGCTGTTTGTCTCCCATGCTACCACTTTTCCTCCCAAGGAAAGGAATGGATAACCAAAAAATAGACCAGGTTCCTAGTTTTGTAACTAAGATTAAAGCCACCAAAATACATAAACTTATTAAGTAGTTGAATGTCATGTACTTACAAGAACATGAAACTGGGTGGGTTAGTGTGTGGGCATCTGTGTAGGCAATCAGGGTAAACAATTAATGTTGCTGAACTGGAAACAACCTTGAATAAAAGTTTCAAGATACTCATTTAATGATCTTGAGATGAAAGAATTTCTTTTTGACATAAAGGCTGTTACAGCTCATTGGCTTCAGAACTCAGATGTTCTTTTTCAAAAGATTGTCGCTGTATTAAAGGCAAGATGTGTATGTATTTCTAAGAAGGTAAAATGTCCCAATTCAAGGAAGAGCCAGTTTCTCCACTTCTTCCTCTTCACATATGTAGGTAGGTAAGATAGAGATTCCTGGTACACTAATCATGCAAAGTTGAATTACTAACTTGCAAGTTAGTAATTCGGATTTATAAGGTTTCTTTTTAAGATATCTGCCTAAAATAGCACTAAAAGACATTTCCTGTACCTATTGATATCTGAATCATCCCGGGAAAGAAGCAGAAATTCCACGTTGCTCGGGTGAGTGGGGGAGAAGTCATAGTTAAAATATCACAGCTATTTTAATGACCAAATAATATTCGTATAATTAAATGTTTTGAAAGTATAAATTACAAATGTTTTTCCTTTTAAAAATATGTTTTGTTGCCCAGCCGGGTGTGGCTCAGTGGTTGAGCGTCGACCTAGGATCCCGGCGATCGGGGTTCGATTCCCGGTCAGGGCACATGCCCGGGTTGCGGGCTCGATCAGTGACTCTTTCATTGATGTTTCTATCTCTCTCTCTCCCTCTCCTGTCCTCTCTCTGAAATCAATAAAGGTATATTAAAAAAATATATATATATGTTTTGTTGAGCCCTAGGCAGTTTTCTCAGTGGTTAGAGCATGGGCCTGTGGACTGAAGGGTCCTGGGTTCGATTGTGGCCAAGGGCACTTACCTCAGTTGCAGGCTTGATCCCCAGCCCTGGTCAGGGGTGTGCGGGAGGCAACCAGTTGATGTCTCTCTCCCTCCCTCTCTCTCTCTCTCTCCCCCTCTCTCCTCCCTCCCCCTTCCACTCTCTCTGAAAAGCAATGGAAAAAATATCCTCAGGTGAGGATTAATACACACACACACACACACACACGTACACGTATAGTTGGTTTTCATTGCCTTATAACATTGCTGCTATTTTCAATGAAGATTTAAAAGTATGTATGTAGTGAGTGCATTATTTATATGAGTAATACCACTAGATCTTCAGCTAGGTATCTACACATGTGCCTTTGCTATTTAGCCTTTGCTATGAAGATGATGTAGATAAGCCCATACCACAGTAGACAATTTATTTGAAAATTGTCAAATGAATCAATAGCAGCTATTCATTTGTTACTAAATGATAGTCATAGCCATTTCTAAGCTTTCAACAGTTGTAAATTTTCTGTACAGACATTTTGAAATCAGAGATTTATTATGGAATCTAATTTTTTCTGTACCCTATCCTAACTTACATCTTACAAAGCCAATTTCTCAGTTAACGTTTACCTGGGAAAAGGAGAAGGGAGAGGGATTCCTATGCCTAATTTGTGCATTAGGTGTCTGAATACTTGAAAATAAAGATGAACTATGTCTGTGAAATGTGCAAATGGAATATGGAAACATTATGTTTCAAAATCAAGAGTTTAGAAATTCTGATTTCATTTTCAATCTAGTCATTCTTTAAGAAGTGTTGACCAAATTCTTCTTATGTTTGGGTGCTGTATTTTTAAGGACAATAGACTTTATTGGGTGTGTGTGTGTGTGCATAAGACCACTACAGATTTCTCTGTGGGCTTAAAAAATTCTAGTGCTAGGTTTTCAAGCTTTAATTCCAATGACTGGTTTCATTTATTCAATAATTGTGTTTTCCTTCAAGATGGAACGGGACTTCCTTTCTATTTTGTAGTTTTGAAGATGCCCATAATTTGTTTGATGTGTTTTTTGCAGTGTCTATTTATGGAATTTGGTTTTATGATAAAGAAGAATGCCAAAGAATTGCAGAGCTTATGAAAAAGTAAGTGCTGAAAGACTACATGCCATTTTTCAGGACCTGGTGCTTTTGTTTATATTTCTAAGTATGCATAACTACCCCATAATCTTAGCAGAATATATCTTACTACTACTTTATAAATGAAAAGTAGACATAAATGCAACTTTTTTACATTTCCACGAGGTAACATTTACCATGTGGAATGGCTCACCTCATTGTCTTATGCATATGTGAAGTACCTGTAATATGAGTTGTTCCAGATGGCAGCTTTCCTTAATATCTTACTGATTTGTGATTTAGCAGTTTTTTCTTTGAAAGCTCTCAGTATGTCTATTAGTAGAAAAAACATTCAGAGACATTCTAAAGGGCTGCTCCAGATTCTCTCAGGTCTTTCGTTTCCTTCCCGCCCTAAATGCTTTCCTTTAACTGCACACCTGTGGTTGCAGAGGCTCAGAGCTTCCTTACACCTCAAACTCTGTTTAGGACAGTATTTGTTTTCAATTTCTTTGGAAATATATGAGTTAATGTTAGTTCAGTGATCGGTAGACAGAGTCACTCTCTCTCTCCCTCATTACTAGTCTCTCTTTCTTCCAATCTCGTGCCACCTTGTGATTTGTGCCATTCTGCATTTGGGGAAACCTAAATCCCTGCCTGACCTTCCTGCTCTTCTTGGCTTCCCTGGTTGTATTGAAAGGAGTGCCCAGGTAGGCATGCTGCCTTCTCTGTGACTGGTCAACTCTGTCATCAGTTCTTGAGCCTCTGGGCTGCGTGCTGGGAGGCAGTTATTTCCCTGCTCTTTATGGGGATGGCTTAGAGCTCAGAATAAAATGTTTCCCACTTGTGCTGGACTCAGCTGATCACACAGTGTGGCTGCCTCCCACACGATTTGACAAAGCAGCTCTGTATGCAAAAGAACCATTTCCAAGTTTAAATCTTGGGCAATCATATTACTAAAAAGTGACCCCCAAAAATGAAACTTGGGGAGCGCTTTCTTATAAATATAATTGATTTCTGAAAATCTAGCTTGTGACAGCTAATTTTAGGTAACTAGCTCAGGTTTCAGATGGTGATTGTGTTCAAACTGGTATTTACCACTATAACAATTAGTTCCTAGGACTTTCATGTTATTGTAAACTGCGCAATGGATAATAATAGCAGGATTTCATGTAGATTAAAAATTACCCTGCAGCTCAGCCAAGAGGCCGTGTTAAAATTGCTAGCATTCTGCAGTAATTCCTTAACAGCTGGGGCAGGAAACTGTTGACTAGCAATAGCAGCTGATCTGTATGGATTCCAGCCCTTCCTCAGTTAGAATTAAACCTCTCAATACATTCACAGATCTCTTTGACCACAAACTTCATGGCACTTATAAAAGAATTTGAGCTGAAAGTCAAAGCACACAAAAGGAACAAGTATTTTTCTCAGTGCACCTAGCAGCATATAGGAGCATATGGTCTCCCTTCTGTACTGTTTCAGGAAAACAGAAGACATGCCTCATTGCTCTGTTTTTTAAGCACCTCTCCTCTAGAATGGAATCTTCACTATTTTCAAACTGACAGAGAACCACAGGGTTTGAGTTGCTGGAATTACCCTTGCTTTGACTTCAAGGCACTTTGGAAGGAAGGGGAAAATCTGATTGCCATACACTTCGCTCAAACTTTGAGAACTCTCAAATCGGTTTCCGCAGCAATTAATGAGTCCTTTCAAATGCTCTAAATGAGGAGTTGGCAGACTTTTTCTGAAAAAGGCCAGGTAGTCAGTATTTTTTTTGCAAGGCCATACTGCCTCTGTCACAACTACTCAACTCTGCAGTTAGTGTGAGAAAGCAGCCCAGCCGTAAGGACCGGCTGTGTTTGTAACTCTCTTTATAAAAACCGGTGGTGGGCTGGATTCGACCTACAGGTTGGAGTTTGCTTGCCCCTATTCTAGATTCTTATATCTAGTCAGTGTACTCAGGACCTCAAATCTCATTTTCCTTCATTCAACTCTTAAGCCAGTCTTATTTCTAATATGATCATAACAGGATAAAAACAATTGGGTGGTTTTAAAAATCATTTGTATTGAATTGTTTTTTCTGGTGTGGTTCTTCCCCTATACTTTTCTAGCCTAACTCAGTATGAACAGTTGAAAGCCCATCAAGGAGCTGGAGCAGGAATCTCCCCAATGATCCTCAGTTCAGGAGAGGGGAAGGAAGTAGATATCTTACAAATGCTCACCAAGGCCAAAGATGAATATACAAAGGTGAGTTTTTGTTTTTCCTTGTGATACATGCTTAATTCTCACAGTGGGAATACGTTCCTTAAGAAAGACTTAACTGCTATTCCTTCCACCAAACAAAATTATATGAAAAATAAAATCTTTGTTTTTAATAGGCTAAAGAAGACTGTTTGCTTTTAAATTGATTAAAAGGTAGCCTGAGAAATCAATAACCTTCTTATATACAAATAGTACCCAGTCTAAAGGTTTACTGGAAGACCCCTTAAAAATAGCATCAAACTAATATAAACTCTTTGGAATAAAGTTACAAGAAATGAGCAAAACCTATATAAAGAAAACTTTTAAACATTCCTGAAAGGCATAATAATAGACTTGAACAAATGGAAATATATGTCCTGATCTTAGACAAGGAGATAAAACTTCAAGCTCTCACTTCCCCATAAATTAACCTATAAATTTAAGATGGCTCCTAAACAAATACAAACTGGTTTCTTTTTTTTTTTCTGGGATCAGATAAGTTGATTATAAGGTTCATATGGAAAAATATACCAGGAAGAATAACTGGGAAGCCCTGGCAAAGAAGAGCAATGCTGGGTGTGGAAGGGGGGCAAGCTCTACCTACCTGATACTAAGACATTAAAGCCTAAACACTTAAAACAGTGTGGTATTGGTGTTGATGCATAAACAACCAGATAGAGCAATGGAACAGAGGAGAAAGTCCAAGATGAGACCCCAATGGATATGAAATTTAGGATATGATAAAGATGAAAATCCCAAATCAGTTATTTGAATAGATTTTTAAATAAATGGTGCTGGCTAACTGGTAGCCACTTGGAAAAGTACAAAATTGGATCTCTACCTCATGCCATATATAGGATAAATTTCAAATGTATTAGAAATTTAAATGTAAAAATAAAACTATGCGAGTACCAGAAGAAAACTTGTATAGATTTCTTTGTAATCTGGGAAAGGGGAAATCTTCCTAACTATGACTCAAAACCCAAAAGCAGTTAATTCAACTACAAAAGAAAATGTGTTCCAGAGTTTCGAAAAACCACAAAGTGAAAAGATACTAAAAACTAAGAAGAGCCCAGCCAGTGTTGCTCAGTGGTTGAGTGTCAACCCATGAACCAGGAGATTGAGGTTCGATTCCTGGTCAGGGCACATGCCCGGGTTGTGGGCTCGATCCTCAGTAGGAGGCATGCAGGAGGCAGCTGATCAATGAGTCTCTCTCATCACTCATGTTTCTATCTCCCTCTTCTTCTCCTTTCCTCTCTCTGAAATCAATAAAAACATTTTAAAAAAATAAATAAAATAAAAACTAAGAAGAAATGTTTACAGCTAAATAACAGAAAGAGGGTTAATTTTCCTATTTTATAAAACACTTTTATAAAAATCAAGAAGTTAAAGATTAACACTCTAGAAACACAGGCAAAAAATAAAATTAAGAAAAAAGAAAAGAAAACTCTAGAATTTGAAAATTAGATGAAGTAAATGTACATAATTGAATATATTATGACATAATTACTTAGAAAATAAATCAGAGTGACTTCAGAATCCCTTATTTGAACTAAACACCCTTAGTGGGTTATATTTTAAGGACAAAAAGAACTACAAAGAAATTATAAACTTTATTCAGTGGTTTTGTTAGTAGTAATATTGGCATTGTAATTTTTCAGGATATAATAATTGAGTACAATTGACCCTTTAACAATGCGTGGGTTAGGAGTACTGAAACCCACACAGCTGAAAAATCTACATATAACTTTTGACTCCCCAAAATACTTAACTAATATCCTAATAAAAAGTAGATTAACACATATTTTGTATGTTGTATGTATTATATACTGTATTCTTACAGTGAAGGATAGAGAAAAGATGTTATTAAGAAAAATCACAGGGAAGAGAAAATACATGTGCTGTATTTATTGAAAAAAATCACATAGAAGTGGATTCGTGCAGTTCAAATCCGTGTTGTTTAAGGGTCAACTTTGTGATCAGAACAAAACCTTCAGTGTAACAGAAAAATAAATTAATGTATAATGTTAAATTTTAAATGGAAATGTCAGACAGAATTAGTTGACATTTTACTTCTTAAATATGTAGCTTTTAACTTTCCCCTGAAAAGACCTAGAAATAAGTGACAACCCAGTAGCAATAAACACCTCTAGCCCCCAGATTATTGTTTCTAAATACTATTTCCTCATAAAAGCTACCAGGGCTCTTTAAAGAAACTCCTGATTCCAGGTCTGGGATATGAAAGTCAGACAAATAGGGACATGTGGAAGGGGCACAGTAGTCAGCCTGAAGGGACCACTAACCAAAATAACGAATTCTAACAACAAGAATGACTGCAATGGATTGAAACCCACTGATTATATAAAATGTATGAGTTCATGGTGATGAGAGAAAACAAGCAACCAAAAATATAAAACAAAACAAAAAATAATTATTGGCTATCCTTGGAGGTACTAGGGCTCCTTCCTCTGAAAACTGGTACTTAATGGAAAATAATTAAGCATTTATTCTACCTGGCAAGTATGGACCATATTTGAGAGTAACCAAATAGTACTGGTTGATGAGGGAAAGGTCTCTATTAAAGAATTCCAAGAATTCCCTTGTAATGTAGATAAGATGATAGAACTTAAAACACCCTAGTAAAATAATTGATTCAGACAATGATCATCAGTAATAATATTATGAGAAGGATTGATAGAAACTTGACCATGGAAGGGTTAGGCTGCCACCACCTAAACCCATTGATCAGCATCACTAGAAATTGAATAACTAGACATGTGCCTCCGATATAATGTGAAATATATACCACCTTGAAATACTCTTGCCAAAAGAATCTAAGTCTTGAGCTCTAACTTTCTAGTTTACAGAAAATGAAAGGGAGGAGGGAAGAAGGGGCACCACAAGGAAGCAGTCAGAAAAGTCCTGAATGAAGTGTGACATGGACGGAGTTTCTTTAACCTGCCTTTGACTTGTGAACTCACCCTTGATTGTTAGACTGTGAGCTCCGTGAGTACAAAGGACATCACTTATTCATCTTTATATCTCTAGTCTTCATCAAAGTTCCTGGCACATAACAGCCAAGTGAATGAGTATGAATATGAATATGAATATGAATATGAATATACCAGTTATCCTTCTAGCATAGGGCTTGGGCAGAGATGCTTTAATTTGAGCTTCAGTCAATAACAACTATTTATATTAGTTGTTTATTTTGTTTAATTCTTCAAGTCTTTAAAAGGCATCCTAATTACTTGGCAACTAATCAGTAATTAATTATACTTTATTAATTGTACTATGTTAGGCACACTAAAGATTAATCTTAAAAAGTGACATTTTACCCTCCAGGAACTTTGTTTCTATGTGGCCAGTAAATAATAAATGCAAATATTGAACAAATATTTTTTTCTCCCTCTCTCCTCTCAACACACACACACAGTACTGTTTATATATTTAATGTTCTGACACCTTAAAAATCTTCTGGTTGGGGACAGATGCACCTCCCTGGGCTTGCCAATTCTTAGAGAGGGCAAAGGGCCCAACCAGAAACATACCTTCCATATGCAAACTAACGAGCCAGAGCCATCCCTCCACTATCTGGCCTGGTCCAGGAGGCAATATTTCCCCCCCGGCCTTAATCATATCAGGGCCCAGCCAGCAGCTAGGGACCAACCCTGCAGTTGATATCCTGCGGAAATGATTCAAACTAGTCCTAAGGGGCAGAAACTCCAGGAAAGGTGCTAGCCTTGGTTTTCCCGTTGCTACCGATTTTTCCCTCCTAACCACCACGAGGCTTCCCCATGTGGCCCTGCATGGTGGCCTTTGCCTCCCGTTTCTACAACCTGTGAGTATAATAAACTTGGTTTCCTGAGCCTCTCCAGTGCCTCCTCTTGTAGCTACATCTAACTGTCTCATAAAATAACACAGAACTCACACACACTCATGGCTTTGGGGACTTCACTTTATACTATACCTACAACTTGGAATGATTTCCCCCTCATTTTATTTGCCCTTTAGACTCTACATATCTTTCAATGCCCAGTTAAAATACTGCTTTTTACGTGTTTTCCCAGATCACTTCATTCAAATTCTTTCCATTGAACTCACCAGTCTATTAGTATCTAGAACTTATTTTGTTTTCTCATTTATTACAGTTAAATTTATTACAGTTCAGTGAGAAAGAACAAAGTAAGTTCTAGACACTAATAGATACTTCTCCCACTACACTGCTAACTTGAGGTTGAAACAATGTTCTGTTCATCATTATGTTCCCACAGACTGGCTCTTACAATGTTGACGGGAAGTGCAGATATTAAATCAAATACATGTTATAGACACAATGTTAATTGCTCCAACTGTGAGGTAAATAACAGAAGAAATAATTCTTTCTCCCATTAACAGCCAGATGATGTAATGTAACCTGTGTGATCACGGTACTGCTCTGGTCTAAGTCCTTGTTTTCTCATTGCCGGCTATACACGAGCCTGTAGACTCTGCGAGCCTTCCGTTACACAGCCTCGGGTGATTCCTCTAACCCAGTACCTTCTACTCCCTCTGCCCCCTACAGATATTTGAAACTCCAGCCAAACCGAATAACAATCTTGCTTCCTAATGGTGCCTTCATGCCTTGTCCCATGCTGTCCCCACTCCTTCTTTACTTTAAAATACCGTCAGTCTCTCAAGGCCCATTTCACATGTTCTTTGTCCGTCGTGTTATTTCTGATCTGCCACCAGATGTTTACGCTCCCCCATAACATCCATTGCATCTTTTCATTTGCCTTGTGTTTGCGTTTCCTCCTCTCCCGCACACCAACAGACATTTCAGAAAAGGTGGCAATCGTGAGCCAGATGGCTCTGAAATACGGGAGAGGGGGGAATTGAAAGAGGGCAAAAGAGAAAGAAAACAAAAATGTTTCCTCAGAATTCTTGTTAGGAGGAAGTGAATTTTCCATTATTGGAAGTATTCAAGAAGACACTGAATGTTTACATATTGGAGACAGTATAAATTTTTTTTACTTCTCTGTATAAGTGTTAAACTGAATAAATGACTTCTGATATCCTTTCCAACTCTAAAATTCTTAAATTCATGAAAATTCCAAAAAGTTAGAGGAGGAAACATTTTAAACTATAGGTATATGATATTAGTAAAGTGAAGCCCAGTGATAACAGATACAACTTTTTATGTAAAGTTAATAATTTGAAACACTATTTGGCTTAATATTTTATGCTTTCTTCCCTAAGAAACAACTTTCTATAATTTGCTGTAAAGTGGCAATGATATTAATTTGAGTGGCATCTCCTTTTACCTCCTTACTTTTTTTAATCCTCACCTGAGGATATTTTTTTCATTGCTTTTCAGAAAGAGTGGGGGGGGAGAGAGAGAAACATGGTTGCCTCCCGCATGAGCCCCAGCCGGGATCGAGCCTGCAGCTGAGGTATGTGCCCTTGGCTGGAATCAAACCTGGGACCCTTCAGTCCGCAGGCCGACGCTCTAACCATTGAGCAAGCCTGCTAGGGCTACCTCCTTCCTTCTTGTAGAGATGCAAATGATCCATAAAATAACCAAAGTTCAGTGAGAAAAAGAACCAGGCCAGAAGGGATCTATAGGCTACATAGTTAGGTTCTTAGTACTCAAAAGTGGACTATTTTGTGTTTTGTGGGTTTTGTCAAGAATTAATAGTTCTCTTCTCAATATAGCTGAGATCTACTTATGAAATTAAAGAAATTATTAAGTGTCTTTTGATGTTCAATGGGAAAATTCATAAACATAAAAAAGGAAATAGCCCTGGCTGATGAACTCAGTCGGTTAGAGCATTGTCCTGATATGCCAAGGTTGCGGGTTCAATCCCTGTCCAGGGCACATATGAAATGAATAAATGAATGAATAAATAAGTGAAAAAACAAACTTCTGTTTCTCTCTCTCTCTCTTTCTCTCTCTCTCAAATCAATAAATAAAAATTTAAGAAGAAAACAAAGACCACCCACAACCCTATAACTCAAATACACTTTTGGTGTATTTTCTTTCAGACTCTTCTCTTGGCATAGCTAATATGTTTGTGTGCTTGTGTGTGATAAAATTGAATTGCATGATACAGTTTTTGAGGCTGTAGAGAAGTGACTCAGGTTCTCTAGGAAGAATCCATTATACACTTTTTCCAAAACTATGTTTTTTCCCAAATATTTTAAAGTTATTTGGGTCAGGAGAAGCATAGAAAATTAAACAACTGGAAAATGAGCTACAAACTATTGAGGTGGATGATGTTAATTTGGAGCAATTTGATAGAGAGTGATTTTTATGTATAAGCAAGGCTTCATAGATGGGTAGACAATTGCAGTGACATAGAAAACAGCTCCTGGCAATTTCACCTAGAATAGTCAATCTGGGGTTATGCAAGCAAAAGACAGAGCAGCCAGTTGGCCCACGTGGATATGTGCACAGTGAAGGTGGGGAAAATCTGGTGAGGTTTTTTTTTTTGGCTTAAAATTCAAGGTCTCTGAACATAGAATGAAGAAGCACAGAAGGGTCATTCAGGGAAAATAAGCTAAGCATCCATTTTTATTTTTTTATTTTTTTCCTTATTTATTTTTAGAAAGAGTGGAAGAGAGGGAGGGAGGGGGAGAGAGAGGGAGAGAGAAAGAGCAAGAGAGAGGGAGAGTAACATTGATGTTAGAGACACACCACAGGCCCCAACCAAGGCTGAGGATCCAACCACGACTGAGGTACGTGCCCTTGACAGGGACTCGAACACACGACGCTTTGGTCTGCGGGCTGATGCTCTAGCTCCTGAGCCACTTTTCTTTTAAAAGCAAGCAGAAGTTAAAGTCTTTTCATGCTAAAATTTTGTAAGTGACTATATCTTAGGCTGTATCCTTGTCCTGTGTTGCTTAGCCATATCTCGAAAAAGCCAGGCTGGTTGGTCCATGCAGCCATACCACTAACCACCATCATTCACCTAAGAAGAATTAGAAATAACATTTTATGATTCATAATGTAATTTCACATCCCATTTAATCCAAATCCAAATTACTTACAGAATTCTTTGAAGAAAATAATTAGTCCTTCATACAGTTAACCTTACAAACCTAAGTGAGCACGGTGGTACTTGACCCTGTGCCTCTCCTTGAATTAGAAAATACAGCCCAGTAACTGGGGACCTTGGGTGTCTGAGGGACGAGATTGTGTTTATAGCACATTCCAGTGTGAAATATTTTCTGACCAAGGCCTTGACTGTACAATTGAAACCAGCAATTCTATAGCGGGACTGTAGTACAGAAGGGAGCGTTTTTATACTGTTTCATTTGTAACAAGTCAGATGCCGGCATCATCTGTGTTCTTTCTGTTATGAGTCCTACTGCGTCAGTAATTGCATGGTTGGTTAGACTGATGTATAATAATGATTCAGTACTTGAAATAAGGAGGCATGTTTGTCTCTTTTCTTTCTCTGTGAAATTCTAATTTGTAGTGAGTGGCTCCGAACACTCAGGTTTGAATTACTCTGTTTATCCAAAAAGTCACTTATTAAATAAATATGATGTTAGTAATTTTTAAATCAGTGATTTGAGTCAGCTTTACTTTTTGGTTTGTAGAACAAAAACGGGTTACTTACTCTGATGATGGAACTCACCAATTTTAAATCAACTGCTAATAGGTGAATAAAAACCTTCTGCAATCCAGACATGGTATTTAAGGAATAGTTTCTATCATTGTTTAGCATTGAAAAGCACTAGACTCTCTATACGTTTTTGTTGATTTCAGAGAGAGGAAGGGAGAGGGAAAGAGAGAGAGAAATATCAATGATGAGAAAGTCACTGATCGGCTGCCTCCCGCACGCCCCCTACTGGGGATTGAGCCTGAAACCTCAATGGTCAGAGCATGAGCCATGCCGGCCGTGCTAGGCTCAATATTTTTAAACTATTGCTTCTTAAGCATATTGATAGCCTTTCAAGTATCCAAGTATCTAAGATCCTTTAGGGTCTTGCAGACTGATACCGTTGGTAATATTTTAGAACACTGAATTGTGTGACTGAGAAAAATTAAGCTTAAATTTTATTTGTACTCAAATGTAGCTCAATAAGAGGCAATTAAAAGACTTACTTTTGTACATGAAACTCTATCAAAAAATAGCTACCAGTTATGCCCTAGCAGGTTTGGCTTAGTGGTTTGGGCGTCAGCCCTCGGACTGAAGTCCTCAGTTCAATTCTGGCCAAGGGCACGTATCTGGGTTGCAGGCTTGATCCCGGTCGGGGCTCGTGTGGGAGGCAACCAATTGATGTGTCTCTCTCACACTGATGTTTCTCTCTCTCTCCCTCCCTTCTACTCTCTGAAAAGCAATGGAAAAAATATCCTCAGGTAAGAATTAAAAAAAAAAAATCGTGCCCTGCAGGGCATGGCTCAGCGGTTGAGCGTCGACCTAGGATCCAGGTGATTGGGGTTCGATTCCTGGTCAGGGCACATGCCCGGGTTGCGGGCTCAATCAGTGACTCTCTCATCATTGATGTTTCTGTCTCTCTCTCTCCCTCTCCTTTCCTCTCTCTGAAATCAATAAAGATATATTTAAAAAAATAAAATTAAAAAATAGCTACCAATTAGGTAAAATAAAGAGCAAGAAGGAAAATATGTTCTTTTTAAAAGAATAAAGCTTCTTTTACACCAAAAATAAGGTCTTTTTTCCATTTCAGTGTAAAACCTGTTCTGAGCCAAAACAGATAACCAGTTCATCTGCCATTTACGACAACCCCAATCTCATCAAACCAATTCCAGTGAAGCCCAGTGAAAACCAGCAGCAGTGCATACCTCGACCCAGTCAGGTACTCAGTTCTCTGCTTTTCATTTAAAGTGTCTCTATAGGGTTCTTAATGAACTTTTACCTAGAGTATAGTCAAGGGAGGGCCTGGTGCTGTCTGAGGATGCTTTAAGGTAAATGCAAAAAAAGAGAGATTTCAAGTTAGAGATTCTTTTATTATTAACAATTTACTCTTCCTTAAAAGGGGTTAAAATTTTTACTTTTGGCATTTACCATACTCTATGCTAATCTTTTATGGACTTGAACTCCTTACAGGATAATGTATTAAAAAAAACCAAAAGCAGCAAACTATAACATCATCAGAGTTAACAGGAATATTACCATGAGGCCCACATTCTGCTGAAGTTGATGGTTGGTTTCCCAAAGCAGCCAAGGCAGCAAAATTCAGTTTAACATTTCTGAGCACCTCCTTTATACCAGGTACAATGCCAGACCATTGTGTATACAGAATGGGATTCCTGTCCTGAGGAGTGGTATAACAGTTCTCTTTAGACCCAAAAATTTGTCATTGTATTTGCATCTAATTATAAATATTATAGCAGTTTTTGTATGAATTTACATACATATGGATATATATTTTAGAATAGTAAAGCAGTAACAAAATTGCTAATCTGCAAGTCCCAGAGAGAGAGGAAGGAAGGGAGAGAGAAACATTGATCAGCTGCCTCCTGCACGCCCCACACCAGGAATGAGCTTAAAACCCAGTGAATCAAACCGGCAACCTTTCAGTGCATGGGAGGACATCCAACCATCTGAGCCATACGGGCCAGACTGTGAGTCCCATTATTGATTGTAAATATAATGTGGCTGTTTCCATTTCTTATGGTTATTCCTCATTAAAGTTTTTTTTAAAGGAATTGGTTTAAATCAAGTTTGAAAATGAACATGGAACCAAAAGACATAAAGACTAGTTAATGAAAGTCTTGTGTTGAATTTTTTAAAAAATAAGTCTTTTCTAATTATCTTTTACTTTTGTTTGCTTTCCATGGAAATCTGTTATTTTAGTAGATAAATGAGAATATGCTGATTTGAGAATGAAGCTTCTGTTTTCTTAGCCCAATAATACAGAGAGCAACAGAAAGAGCCAGAGATGATATAGAGCAGGAAGGAAGCAACTTTGTAACTGGCTGGGCCACGGCAGATTTTATGATTTGATGATTTTTTAAAGCTACTATTATATAGTTGTCAACCAGTGGTAGTTTGTACCAATTCAATGGGAACGGGAATCCTCAATTTGGGGTGCAGTGAAGAAGGAAACTTTATTCAGTGCAAAACAGCTCAACTGTGATACAGCAGGGCTGGGAAAATAGTACCCCTGGTGAGGCAGCCGTGGGCCAGGCCCCTACCTGGCTAGACAGCTCTGCTCTACTCTGCACCAGTCTGCTTTGTGCTGTGCTGTTCTTGCAAGACATCTTCAGGATTTCAGCTCAGCCAGGGAAAGAGTCTTGAATCGTCCATGGAAAGGGAAAGTGTGTTCCCAGAGCCAGAGGGGAGCTGGCTTATTGAGACAGAAGTCTCAGCGCCTGGTCCATGATTGGTCCATCCTCATGCAAATGAGGATTCCAAATCCTTGCAAATTGATTGGTTCAAAAGGCACTGTCCTTATTGGTCAGAATAGAACCACTCTGGTTGGTCAGCTCTGTGCAGCTCTGATGGGATGGGGAAAGCCTCAGTCCCATTGGTTGAAATAGGACTCTAGGAACTCCTTTATAAGGATGGGCTCAGATGACAGAGACACAGTGCAGGCAGGCAGTTCCATGCAGGCTTTTCTTTGAAGCATGGTTTGCGGCAGAGGTCCCTGTGTAAAAATGGCTATTAGGGTCCTTTTTAAATATTTGAGCCCAGTTAGCCACTTAATAGGTATCTTTGTTCTCAGAGTTTATACAGTCAAAAGGATCAAGTTGGATTAAATGACATGTTTCTTTCTCACCCTAAATTTCTATAATTCTGTGAAAAGCTACCAGGAATTCTGAAATCCTCATAGTCCTTTGAATTCTCAGTATCTTCTTATACTTTGCAGAGTTAGATGGACTTCCTGTTGAAGAGATTACTTACCTTCTAGTGGATATAATTTTATACCATAGTGGTTCCCAATCTGTGAACCTCAGGCCCATCAGGACTCATATTTCTATTTCATCAATCAACAGATACTAAAATATAACAGCTACCTTGGAAGTGGTAGGGAAGAATGCTGTGAAAATTATTGGAATTAAAAAGGTCTCAGTTTTGTGAAGTTTATTATAATTAAGTTTTTTATCCTCTCTAATTAATCCTTTATAAATAAAAAAAAAAGGATTGAGTAAATTATGTTTCATATCCCCCAAATAACCAAATTGTATGTAGATCCATTTTGAGACATTTTTATTTTTCCAGACCTTAGACCCTGAACCCCAACACTTGTCCTTGACAGCGCTCTTTGGAAAGCAGGACAAAGCTACATGTCAGGAAACTGTGGGGCCTCCGCAGACCTTCCACCATCACCAGCAGCAGCAAGAGAAGCTTCCGATTCGGCAGGGGGTTGTACGTTCCCTGTCCTATGAGGAACCCAAAAGACACTCACCCCCCGTTGAGAAGCAGCTATGTCCAGCCATTCAGAAACTCCTGGTAAGGAGTACAGACCTCCACCCATTGTCAGAGCTGCCTGAAAACCGGCCCTGCAAAAATGGCAGTGGCCATTCTGCTGGGGAAGATTTTACGGGACCTGTCCACCTGGGGTCTCCCCAGAGCGCTGGGACTTCTCATCATGTACACAGTGCTTCCAGACCTCAGAACCTGTTAGAGAAGCTCCAGAGCGCCCCGGGAGCAATGAACAAGTATGACCCTAGTACACCAGCACCTGCCAGCTCAGCGGCCCCAAGCATCACAACCCTCACTGCTGCCACCCCTGCAGCTCCAGGACGGGTGGCTCAGCCACAGCTTGTACATTTCAATGGCTCCCTTCCACCTCAGGCACTAGGATGTCAGGCTCATGAAAAAGAACAGCCCACATGCCCAAGACAAATGCCCCCCCCCTCTGGCAATCAGACTAGTGGTTCTGGAGTGATCTCCCCTCAAGAGCTACTGCAAAAGCTTCAGCTTGTGCAGCAGGAACAGCAGCTGCATGCGTCTAACCGGCCAGCCTTGGCAGCTAAGTTTCCTGTGCTAACTCAGAGCTCTGGAGCAGGGAAACCCTTGGAATCCTGGATTGACAAGACATCCAACACAGAAAAGCAGACTCCTCTTTTCCAGGTAAATATCCACTGGTTATTACTGTGATGCGGTAAAATTTAGAATCAGCTTCTGGGCTCTAGGGACATTCCTGTCCCAGTGTCCAAAGCCTCCCCTGTGCAGCTTATATCACCTTAACTTCCTGCCTGGAAAGAGAATCTTCGCGTTGTTTAGCAATCTGGGAGCTCCCCACCTCTCAGATACTTTATTTGTAGAGTTAAGTCTTCGCAGTTTATAAGGTCTGAAGACATGGACATGCGAAAGGACACAGACACAGGGGGGCCCTAATCTTCATTCTGGGGTATCAGACGTCTGGCCTGTTCTTGTCATTTTAGTCTACAGTAATTGGTGCTTGTTCCCTGCCGGGCGCTGTGCTGCATGCGGGTGCAGAGTGGTGAGGAGCACAGATGCTGCCTCTGCAGAGCCACAGGCCCTGGGGTTGGGAGTCGGGGAGAAACGTGCCATTAACTCCATAAAGGTGTGGCCTGTTTTAATTCATATCATCTGCATAGCGTAATGAAGATGGGGAGAGAAGTATGCTATGTACCCCCCCACACATACACAAATTTCCAGACAGGGAAAAATATTCTAATTTTTAGAAATTGTTTATCCTTCAAGGAAGATGGTTCTCTATGTTCATCAATAACTTAGAACAGTAAGAAAACCGCAAGCTATTCTGTTGCCTGTGGGTAACATCTGGAGATCGGGCTTTTTTTTTTCATTTGAATTAGTGCAAGTTCATTGAAAATGCAATAGGTTTAAAAATTAGGAAGCTGTCCCTGTTACATGTCTCAGCGTTGGATGGTTGTCATGTTTTGGCAAGTAGCCAACAAAATCTTCCACTCTTTTTGAAAACCAAGATCATGAGCTTGTAGCAGCTTTGTGTCCATGAGGCACTGAGTCAGAGAGCTCTTGTCTATTTTTTATTAAAACCTCAAATCTGAGTACCTGTTTCTATGGAAACAGTACCTGCCACTCATCCTCATCCTTCTTTCAATGTAATCTTGCCCCGTTTTTATATGACTTTTTCTCTTTGATGGTTTAGATTGGACAGTAGGACACTTGGGGTTGAGAGTCAGACATGAACGTCTGCACGCGCAGCCCTCTTGTCTTTCAGGCTCACAGCTGGAGCCGAGGAAGAAGGTCCAGTGAGCCACACGGTGCTGGCCCTCCTTCGGGAGCCTCCAGCACGGCCCTGCCCCTGTGAGAGCCGACAGGGACAGTTAAACAACCCACCTTCCTCGAGGCTAGTTTCTCCCCAAAAAGATACCAAGGGAGTGATTATAAAATTACAGCAGCTTCTCCCTCCTGGTGGGAAGTGAGTGGGGAGGCTGCTCTCACCGGTTCCTCCGTAGAGAAATCCGAGGTGGAAACGTGTGCGCCTCCAACAACTCATGTCGGTTGTTGGAACTTTAGATCAGAGTAGTGGACAACCAGCCCCGAGGACAAGGCCAGCAGTCCTAAGTGCGTGTTACCAAGCGATAACTAGAGCAGAAAAGTAAAGTGTTACTGAGAGGCCAAGCTCTGTACGCAGTGGGAACAGTAGTCAGCGCAGCAAGTGCTGCCAGAGCTGCTGTGTCACGACAAGGGAGATATGGGGGACTGAACAGGAGTCAGTTCTTTCGAGCTTTTCCCATCCAGTGAAGTTGTGAACAGTTAGGATTTAAACTCACCTCTGTCTGCTCTTGCTAACGAGTGGCCTCTCTGTCTCTGTACCTGTTGTTTCAGTGAGCTGCTACTTACTCCTGCCCTCTTTGTATGTATTTGCTATGAGCAGGTCATCTCACCTCAGCGCATCCCTGCTACAGTTGCTCCTTCTCTGCTCATGTCCCCCATGGTGTTCACACAGCCCACCTGTAGCCCACCAAAGGAGAGTGGGCTCTTGCCCCTGGGAAGCCAAGAACCAGCTGCCGCCTCCACCAGCCTCCTCCTGCCTCTGCAGAGCCCGGAGCCCTCCATACTCAGCAGCAGCCCACTTACCAAGAGGCAGCTTCAGGAAGCACTGCTGTTCCTCATTCAGGTAGGGGGACTGTCGTCTCTCTTCTTCCCTTTACCAGTCCTGCTCACCTACTGGTTGCCACTCTGAGGTAAGCACTCAGTTAGCGAGTGTCTGCACAGTACTGCCCAGGAATAAGCGGACAATGTAACAGCTCACCCCAGACCACAGTGGCTCTGTGCTTAGCTGGATGAGATTCAGGATATCAGCTGTGGCTTTAGGTGTCTCCACGCCTTAAAGATTTTGTAATTTGGAAGACTAAGTCCTCCAACCTGTCACCTGTCAGAAAAGAAGGAAGCAGACACTGTAATTAAGGACTGTCGATGCTGTGGGGTGCCCAAACCAAGAACTCGCCTTTGGGAGCAGGAGTGATGTCGTCTGAGCAGGCGGAGGTGCTTAGTGGAGAGTCAAGCAGACTGTTGAGGAAGAAGTAAGCAGGTAGGGGAGCAAGTAACGGCTGTGACTGTGGCTACTACGGGCAAATTTACAAATAGTTGTGAAACCTGCTCATCAGGACAGCAGAGGGTGACGAGACTTCTTTGGCAGCCATGAGTCTTACTTGTCTCTATGAAATAACAATAACAGCTGACACTTACACAGAGCTGTGTGTCAGGCACTGTTGTAATGCCTGACATTCATTAATTCATTGGATCCTTACATAACAACACTATCATTTTTCATTTTAGACAAGGAAACTGAGGCTAAGTGACTGGCCTGAGGTCACACAACTAGTAAATAGCAAAGCTGGGCTCCAAACAGTCTGGCTCCAGAGCTCTCCTTCCTGCCACCCGCAGTGGGGGCCGCAGTCCTAGGGAGACTGCTGCAAGGACTCAACCTCTGGGTGTCCGCCCAGCAAAGCACATCCACAAATAAATGGCAGATCCTGAAAAGTGGGATGCTTTTCTCCAGACTCACACACCTCAGTTAACATCTTTAGGTATCCTTTTGATAGTCTTTAAGAAAAATTTTGTGGTATTTGGCTTAAGCTTCAGATGACTTTTAGGGAGCAGGCCAGCACTTTTGCAGCTGTCTCATCTTAAGAAGAAAATGGTCTCTGATAGTAAAAACATTTTTTAAAGGTGATGTATTTTGGAGAGAATGGAAGGAATGGGGCTAGAAATCAGCTGTAAGTGTGAAAGTGGAAGACTACTAAAGAGGCTACGATTGTGCCTGACTAGGTCACAAATATCAGGATACCAATGGTTTCCACCTTTTTAAGCATTTGTGATGTGTTCATGAAGACTTAGATAGGACATCATTGAGCAATAAAGGGAAAAAAACAAATTTGAATTTTAAAGTTTCGTATTCCTTCTGGCTCGTTCCAATTAAATCACATTGTTCCAAAGTTCTCTGTGCAGGAGCTAAGGCTCTGAAGACCTAGAGCAGACCCTGTATACTGATAGTTAGGAGTTATTTCCCCCCACTCTCCATGTACGTTTTACTTTTTCCTATGTTTCAGACGTATTTTCCTTGTGAACTGTTAGAAGTCACTAAGCAGTTTGTTTTCAGTATTTTCCTGTTCGCAGGACGCAGTAGGGACTTTGTGGTCACTTTGTAGGAAGAACAGAGATAAGTAGCTCTCCTTCACTGATGAGAATAATGTTAATTCTGTGAGTGGGTGCCAAGAGGGAGTGAAGGGGGGATGTGTAATGTGGGTGAATTGCTAAAGCTTTAAAGGATTTGAGTGGGAAGCAGAAGTCTCCAGAATTAAAAACAAAACCACTAGTTAGACCTGTGATTTTCCCTCAGCCCTTAGCCAGGCAGAAGGGCTCAGAGACTGCCCGTCTAACTGCTGTCCACTTGCCAAGGCCAGACACTTTCCATAACTAATGGGAGAATTATGCCAGCTTTGATGAGATACTGATGAAGCATATTGCAAGTAAGATCTTAACTAATGCCAAAAGCATAAAATACCCTAGCAATCTAACCAAACTTCGAGAACCACCAACCTCAGTCAAGCCCTCCCTATCCAGTCTTCTGTTGGGGACCTCTGTGTTTTCACCCACAGACCTAGGACTTTCATGAGTGAGCCTCATTCCATACACCACATAGCCAGGCTGCCCATCTGTGCTGTATGTCACATACTGACCGTTGAAAACCTGCAGTGGACTGTCTGGCCTGGCCTTCAACCCCACTTAACATTCACATATGCAGTAAAAAACTACCAGCTGTTAGACAAACAGGAGAGATGAGCATCTTAGGATCAAAGCGCCAGTGCAGCTCTAAGACAGAGGAAGCCTTTTGTTTCTGCCCAACAAATCACATTCCCTCGGTCTTTTGGTTTTGTTTTCCAGAATGACGACAACTTCTTAAATATAATCTACGAAGCTTATCTCTTCAACATGACACAAGCAGCCATGAAAAAAACTATGTGAAAGCAAACATTTTAAAACTGATTTTCAAGGTCCTCCAGCTCAAGGTTTTTCTGTTAAGTGTTGTTACCCTAAGTGTTTCTGCCTTTTTTTAAAAAGTATGTGTAATATGAAGTAAAATGTTTCAGACTTTTTTCAGTCAAGCTTTTTTTTTTAAAAAAAAAAAAAAAAAAAGAAAGAAAATACATCCTTCAGTACACCTGGTACTAAGAATTGAGTGGGTAGAAAAAGTGCTTTGCTCATATCACACAGTAAATGCCAAACTTAATTATATTTCTTACTATGGGGCCATTTCTAGAAGAATTAGCCTCTCCATAGGATGGGCTGTTCTGGAAACTTGGTTTCTTTTTTGATAGCTCTGGTTTTCTGTGAACACAGTGTGTGTAATGTTCCCATTGCTGAGCTCCGCGCCTGCCTCGATGCGTGCCACCACAGGGTGGCAGTGTCACCTCGCAGACTGACCTGCGCAGCCCTTCCCCAGCCTTTGGAAGCAATGCTGGTGTGCTTGTACCAGACAAAATAAACCTCTTGCCTGTAAAAATCCAATTGGCATGTCATCCCCCAGGCCTTTGAAGGGAGATTATTTCTAAAGGTATTATAGCTAGTTTCTAGAGGACAGTTGTTCTCGGAGTCCACAAATAGTCCAGATTTCCAGTAACATCTCCTTTATCCCAGCTCATTGCTGTTTCTTTTGGACCCAACCAGCGGAATATGCCTGCCTGTGTTTCCAGATAAACATTTTATCATTTTAGCAAATCGTGCTGAGAGGAAGGTGACAAAGGATTTTGAAGCTTTTCTTAGCCTCAGAGGACAGGCAGTGAATAGTTCAGGGTGTAATGATAAGCATTCTTCAAGCTTGTAGCAGACTGATCTTTATGTTCAGAGTTGAGCAGCTCAATCTTGGGAGGAGTCAGGAGAGCCCTTGCCAGGTTGTTAAGGCCCAAAAGAGTGGGCCTGGGAGTTACTCCCTGCTGAGTATTAGTAATAAATAAAGCTTTGCAGTTCTATGGCCCTCTTTATTCTGGATCATAAAAAGATCTCTAGATGACTGCACAGAAGATAGGTTCTGTTCTAGTTTTATAGGTCACAAAAGGAAGCACAGGGAAGGTAGGTTTCCTCAGAGCTTTAGGAATAGGGTCTTATTGTAAGACCACCTCCCCACTTCCCACACAGGAGTACTTCTGAGGAGAAGAGGTGAGCAGAAAGGCAGTGACTCTTACTGAACTACGGGCCATACTCAAGGCAGAGGAGCCTACTGTCATTCTCCTACATTTGGGAAGGGATGGTTTCTTTTGTTTCTTTGATTTCTCCTACAACCTCTAACACAGTGACATTCTAACAAAATACTTGGGATTGATAATTGCTTATATAATATCTTAATATTCTTATAAGGAGACTGCAGAAAGAGAAAGACACATGGATCTGTTATCCAAAGTCAATGACTTTGGCAATACATACACTAAAACTGGAACAAGTCAATGATATACTTAATTGCAGGCAACCTTTTTTAAAAAACATCTCTTTGATCTTTAGTACATGTTCAGAGCTGCTTCTCTCCCTAAGGAGAAATTAATTCCATTTTAAATGCTTCTAATATATTTGGGGCAGCAAACGGCTAATTTCATGAAATTTTTCTTCTACCTCAGCATCAAATAAATAAAATAAAAAGAAACATCAGTTACAGCAGCTAATGTGAAAAGATACATGTGGTAAGGAAATGAACCCCAGCCCAGCATGGTCCTACCACACTGCAGGCCTCACTCAGGCCTTTGTAGGTCAACACCACAGGGATCCGTTTTGAAAATAATAAATTCCCCATTCTTTACTGGAGTGATACACTTTAATTTGGACCAAATCACCCTCTTAAAGGACACTTGGTGATGGGGTGCTTATTCCTTCTATATGGTGATGCAGGTAAGAGCTTCTTTGTACAGGAGCTTTCTATAGTGAGTACAAGAAATTGGTTAAAAGGGTTATCTAAGGCACCCCAAATTAGATTTCATATGTAAAGTAACTCTTTCCCACTGCCACCCCAAAATCTGAGAACATCACAAACCCTACTCCTAATGTCAGTGCTCCCAGGCAGCAGTTTTAAGCTGATTGAATTTCAGATGGAACCCTGAGATTTTGTTGCTAAAGGCAGCATGGTCCATGCAGTGGATTTCAACCTTGTGAAGTTACGGAAGTCAGTTCTGCCTGGTGTGGGGACAGGACATGGAGTCTTTGTCAGACTTGCCTTCAGTTCCTGGACAGGTGAACTTTTTCAACATGCTGTTTTTTCATTTGTAAAATGAAAGTCATACCCTCCCACAACGTCCTTAGGAGGATTAACTGGGAGCATCATATGTAACATGTTTCCTGCCGTGCACTCTAGAGTTTCTGCCTGCCCCTCTGCCTTGTCTGTTAGGCCCAGTCCTCTGACCTTTGGGACAAGGCCGACAGCTGCTGGACTGCACTTCATCTGCCAGCCATCATGACCTATGTTCAGCTGATACTGACACATGTACCTGTGGTCACTTTGCCATACCCTTTTCTCCCCTTCATTTCTTTATCAATAAAATGAAAACAGTTACACATATCCCTTCCTTCCAAAGGAAGTGCCATGAGCTCTTCAAGACAAAGATGCCAGTTTAATCCAAAATAGTAGTATTGTTACTGCCCTACATTTATGGGAAAAGTGCCATTTTAATTGCAAAGCCAGAGAAGGCAGTGCTGTTTGATAGAACTTACAGTCCCTGAACAGTCTTCTGAAAAGACACTTACGATGGTAGGCATGGTGGTAACTGTAGGGTGAGAAAACCTTTGTTAGCATCTTCAGGAAGTTCCTGGTATGTGGACCCACCATTGCTGATACCCACAAATGGCTTCTTCCAGCTCATTCAAAAGGGAGGCCAGGGCAGAAAATCCCCAGGCTGAGGCTCTCCCGTGAGGGCACACGTTGTTTTCATCCGGTAAGTTTATTCTTCCCTCAAACACTATTAGCTCATCACTTTCCTCATGTTCCTGGACAGACAGGACTGCTTTCTTCCTCTCGAATGAGGAGGGTGCCAATCAGAGAAGAAAGTGCCTTTCCTCCTAAAGAAATTTCTGTTGATGGATAACATTAGCCCTCTTTAGTCCTCTTGTGTGCTAAAGAGAAAACCCACAGTTGACACGTGTGAAGGTTTATGTCTCCAGATGTGTCATGCTAAGGATGGGAGGTGTCAATCCAAGACCAGGCCTCTAGACGCCAGGCTTCACTTGGGTTCAGCCATATGTCAGTGCAGACACAGGGAAAGAGCAGCTCAGAACTGAACCTTAAAGAGAGTTCCTTGTTCGGCAGGGCTGGGGTGGGGTGAAGTGGAGGGGGCAGTGTTACGGGCCATGTCTTCAGATTGGATGGACAAATCATTGCTCACGCCTCCTGGCGAAAGAGAAGCCTTTCTTTCATGGCATGTGCTCTATTCAGACATGTACCTTCTCTCTGTTCAATGAGAGCAGCTTGCTTCCCAGGCTTTGGAATGTCGAGCCATCTTTAAGGTTAAATTTACCATCTGCAGCCAGCAGATTGTAGCCACTTTCTCATGTAAAGTTACTTGGCTGCACAGGTTGGTGGGTCTCACCAACGTTTTGCTGAATACTTGATTTTTAGGTTTCAAATGCTCCCCATGCCCCTCCCTCTTACAAATGGGAGTGAGAGAGGCCCTTGCAAATACTTAGTATATTTAACTCAACCTTGAGTATCCAGATAGGTTTTCACCAAATCGAGTTGTGAATAATGCCTTCCAACAGCTTAGAGCCTTGAGAAAAGTACACAAACAAAAACTGCATGTGCAGATATGGTCTTAAAACACCAGGGTGGTTGGAAGCAGAGCACCATTGGTAACCTTTCCCGGGGGCTGGGCAGTGCAGACGGCTCTGTGGCGCCAAGCCCGCTACAGTGGCCAGAACTACGCAGCCGCAGCCAGGTTTCTCAGACAAACTAAAGGCACAGCAGGAGGGAAGCAAAGAATGTTCCCAATAGGCAAGAGAAAGGGTAGGAGACCCTACAGGTAAAAGCCAAAAATCTAAGAATTCCCCTGCAAGTCTGAGAAGATGAAAGGTGAAAGTCAAGGTAAAACATGCCATGGAGGTCAGCCGGCGCCGAGACAGCCACTTGGGAGGTGGGAGTGTCCCCCTTCACGATGCTGAGCCACAAGGCCACCGACCTAGACTAGATGTTCTCAGGGGTCGTATAATGGAGGCTGCAAGTCACATCCAGCTGTGTCAGTTCGCAATTCTGTGGAAGACATGGCCCAGGGAAAGGAGGCTCCAGCTCCCCCTAGAGATTTTTTCCCCTCACTTCCTACCACCTGGCCAATAGGTAACACCAACTACATCTTCCCTCAGCACAGCTAGAGCCTACCTAACCCAGTTAGGAGTTCCAAACACCAAGACGGCAGTCCCAACATCATGGTTGCCATGAGCTCCTTATCCCACATGTACTTAGAGTCAAAGAGTTCTGGATTCTAATCCCACCACCTGTGACTTTCCTTAACCAAGTATCAAGGGGAAATTATTTTGTGTGTGGTTATCATGCCAACATAGAAATTGTCACTTTGGGTCAGAGATGGCTGTCTCTTTTGTGCAGTGGTGTTTTCTGTTGGACAGTGGCCCTATGGAACATGCATGGGAGCAAGCTCTTCACTCCCAGCAGCCCCAAAGGGGGTGAGGCTCAGCGTCTCTGTGCTGCCATTTATGGCCCAGTCATAAATCTGCCCAGAATTCTGTTTCATGCTTCTGTACTTTCTGCCCATAGCCCATAGGGTTATGAGTTTCTTAAGTTTTATTCCCTTCTGTGTACATTCCAGTTCACCAACCATGCCCAGGGGCTAAGAAGTTGTGGGTTGAAGAAAATCCATAAATAACAGACCCTTATAGGACGAGAGACTCTGCTCCACAGTGGAATGCCAGCCTGTGTGTGAATGCCCATGGCCTGGCAGAAGCATCTGTCTTCCCAGACCAAGCTCGGAATGTCAGCTAAGAGCTGTTCCTAGCTTTGGCTTCCTGAAAAGGTTTCATCCGCTTTGGTGCATTTCCTTCCCTCCTAGACTTCCTTCACTGGGAGGGTCAGAGGAATGTGCCTCATTTGGCAAACATACCAAATTTTAGGTGC